AGATGATATAGGATACCACACCAAGTAGAACAAACCCGATAAACCAGTTTGGCTAGGCCGGCTAGTTGGTCGAACAACAATAAAGGGAGGTCGAACGTTTTTACAAATAAGGAATCCTCGAGTTGAGAAAGGCATCACAACTTCAAAGAGGCAAGTCAAGTTTAGGCCATCATGAAGGCATGACTGATCGTATGATTGACCGAAAGCTATGCAACATCCTACCTCAAGGTGATTCGGACCAGTCGCACAATTAGACAGTCTAATAAAGCAAACTAATAGATAAGAAGAAATATTAAGAGGATAAAACCGCACGTGGATAGGGCCGCTTGGCCTAACAGAATTTGGTAGTTCAGGAAGTATGGACGGGTTGTTTGAGAAGTCCAACCAACTTACTCGGGCAATTTTAGGCAATAAGATAACATCTCTCTACAAAAGGGAGTGAGGTATGTCTACTAGAACATTACACACTCTCTACATACTTACATAATATTCATCATCGTCTTCTGCATCTCTAACTTAAACATCAGAGACTTTTCACCGAGAAATCCTCCGGTGTTGAGTTGTTGCAGGTCACGAAGGTCATCCACCGACAAGGAAGCTAGATCAGGTTGAATCGTCGATCGAGTGTCTTTACGTACCATAATGCATTCAAATAATCATATTAAGAATGTTTTTATGCACATATTTATATTAAAAAATAATTATATATTTATAATAATTTAATTGTAAATAGTACATATTAAATATTAATAATTATATATTTAATTTGTAATACAACTTTAATATTTTTTTCTCGTGTTTCTACAAGGTAATGGGCCTTCTAATTTCATGAAAAAGACATAAAACGTCATTGGCTCAATTAAAGTAGTCAATAAATAAATCTTGAAGCCCAGATGCTCGATTTAGATTCAGCCCTACCCCATAAAGTTCCGTGGACGCGCTATAGCCCAACTCCCAGTCATCGTTCTCCAGCTCAACAGCGCAGATCCGAGGAGTTGTTCTGCAAATCAATCTAGCGGTTTCTCTTTTCGATTCCGAGGTTCGATCTAAATTCATCGCCTCTTCTGCTCTCCCAACTTGTGTCAGCCTCTTATTTGCCCTAATCGCGCCTCGATTTGTAGTTTTGTAGCGTTGAGTTCGTCTGTGGACAATTTACGCATTGATTTGTGCTAAAATGTTGTTGTTTTCGTTCTGATGCGTGCGGTGTGATATGCCTGTTTGACATTTTTATTGATTTATTGCTTGTGTGCAGCAGGATCTTCAAATCAGGTTGTTATTTTTAGCTATTTCCCGATTTGAATTTTTCTTTTTACTTTTTTTTTTTATTACGTTTTACGATGCTTATTTTCTGGGTTCTTATTTGAGGAATTGAGCCCTAATCTGTTGATATCTCTAGCACTTGTCTGGGTCTTCTTGTAGAAACTGTGGCATTTAGATGAAAAATGGTTTCCCATGATGGTTAGTTGTATTATTATTATTATTCCACTGTTTAGCACCCATTATTAGTTCAGCTACTGTCGAAGTTTGATTGGATTGAGTAGGTTTTGATGCATGTCTTCCATTGATATAGGTTCACAAGCGTTAACTTCATCTGGAAAATGTTCTTCTGAACCTTTGTTTTCAGTATTTATTATTGTTTTGCAAGTAAAACTTGATAGGTGCTGCATTTTGGTGTGTTAATTGCACATGTATGGGAGTTGATGTGCTAGTGTGTGCCCATTGAAGCTGCTACTAAACTATATATTGCGTGCTCACATCTGGAAACCTTTTCATCAAGGAATATGATTCTACTTAGCATTTGCTGGTCATTTCTCAGTAATATAATTTTTTTTTTTTTTTTTTTTTTCCGTATTGGTAATAAAGAATGGCTGATAAAGACGCACCAACCGATAGCAGTAGCCCTAGCGAGAGCAACGTGCATTCAGAAGAAAACGAGCACGAAATATCAATCAACGCCTTAGCAAAAAAAGTTCAAGAGTCCCTTTCTCTCTCTAAACGCCACAAATTCTGGGAAACTCAGCCCGTGGGCCAGTTCAAGGATCTTGGGGACTCGAGCCTTCCCGAGGGCCCCATCGAGCCTCCCACCCCACTGCATGAAGTCAAACAGGAGCCTTACAACCTCCCGGCCCCTTATGAGTGGATCACATGCGACATAGACTCCGAGGAGGTCTGCAGCGAGGTTTACACCTTGTTGACCAACAACTATGTTGAGGACGATGAAAACATGTTCAGATTCAACTACTCTAAAGAATTCCTTCGGTGGGCCCTACGCCCCCCGGGCTACTTCAAGAGCTGGCACATTGGGGTTCGTGTCAAGTCCTCGAAAAAGCTAGTCGCTTTCATAACCGGGATTCCTGCAAGAATCCGTGTACGCGAAACAGTTGTTCTGATGGCCGAAGTGAATTTCCTTTGTGTCCACAAGAAGCTCCGCTCGAAAAGGCTGGCTCCTGTTATGATCAAGGAGGTCACTCGTAGGGTACACCTGGAGAACATCTGGCAGGCTGCTTACACTGCTGGCGTTGTGCTCCCCACGCCCATCACAACCTGTCAGTACTGGCACAGGTCTCTCAACCCGAAAAAGCTAATCGATGTGGGTTTCTCCAGGCTTGGGGCCCGGATGACCATGAGCCGCACGATCAAGCTGTACAAGCTGCCTGATCAGACAGTGACTCCCGGGTTCAGGAAAATGGAGCCCCACGATGTGCCAGCTGTGACCCGTTTGCTGCGCAACTACTTGAAGCAGTTTGCTGTGGCACCTGATTTCGATGAGAATGATGTCGAGCATTGGTTGCTGCCCAAGGAAGATGTTGTGGATAGTTTTCTGGTCGAGAGCCCAGAAAGTCATCAGATCACCGATTTTGTCAGTTTCTACACTCTTCCGTCGTCTATACTCGGCAGCCCAAACCACTCGATTCTCAAGGCAGCTTATTCGTATTATAATGTCTCTACCAAGACTCCTCTGCTTCAGCTGATGAACGATGCCCTCATTGTTGCCAAGAAGAAGGATTTCGATGTTTTTAATGCTTTGGACGTGATGCACAATGAGAGCTTCTTGAAGGAGCTCAAGTTCGGGCCAGGGGATGGGAAGCTCCACTACTATCTGTACAACTATAGGCTCAAGCATGTCCTCAAGGCATCCGAGCTCGGGCTTGTGCTCTTGTAGGCTTGGGGATTATTGGGCCGGCGTCTCTAGAGCATGTGGGGATTGGGTGTTCTGTGAGTTTTGCCTGTTGTGGTTTGGTGGTCGAACAAAAAGGTGTTTTTTTTTTTTGTTTTTTTTGTTTTTTTTAAATTTAGTCGAGTTTTGCGACCGAATATTTGTATCGAGTTTCTCTTTGGAGTTTATTTTGTCTTGTGTTGTCTACTTTTGAGACTGGGATATTGTCGTTGGATTAAAGTTGGTTATGTACGTTCCACACTATTAATTCGTGGTGTGAACCTGTTAACGCATCCAGACGATGGTTTATGTTCATGAATAATTACGGTTTAAATTGCCTTTTTCATTGTTTTAAGGTGGGGTATCTTGTGAGTTGTGATTGTTCCTCAGTTTATTATAATGGATTTTGTAGTGTGGTTATCAAATAGTCCACAGGATTGTGATTGTTCCTCAGTTTATTATAATGGATTTTGTAGTATGGTTATCAAATAGTCCACCTCCTGTGTATTAGTTTGGATTTGGAGTGATATTGTGGGAATTTTAAAATATTTAGATTTTGGAGTTATCCGGTAAAATTTTAGCTTGGGATTTCGAGTGACATTTTAATACTTTTTAAAATTTTTAGATTTTGAAGAAATCCGGTGAAATTTTAAGTTTTGGTGGAATTTGAGTGAGATTTTCAATAAGGTTTTTTTTTTTTTTTTTATTTAGAAATCCTACTATATATAATTTTTTAATGTGTTGAGCTGAAGTGACATACTCGCACGCTGCGGAATTCTATGTGGTAAATTTTCATGGTTTGTCATTTGGTTTAGATAGATTTCAATTTATTTACAATCCAAAAATAACTAAACTTGGAACATATATATATATATACACGAGATATTTATGATCATTTTTAAGAGTATAAATTATGTTTTAAAATTATTTTCTATTCTAGACATGGTTTATAAGGCATAATTGTTTTCTCAAATCTTTCCTTTTTCTTGGTCTTTCTTTTATAATTATAAAAAATATACTCACATAAATTATAAATATATTTAAAAGCTAATTTTTTTTTTATCAATTTTTTATATATAATATATAAGATTACTAATGCCTTGATTTTACATTTGTATTGTGCATAATAATAAAAAAATAATTATATTTATCTTTATAATAAAAACTAAATTATATATAAATATTAATTGGAAAAAAATATGATTTAAATTGATTTAACTACAAATTAATTATATGATATAAGTTAAAAAATTATTATAATATAAAATGTTAAGCCATATAAGTGATGGGTGTCATTTTAAATACAAATTAAATATAGTTCTTTAAAAAAATATTTTAAAATTAGAACTTTCTTTCTTTTATTTTAAATATAATATTTTTCACAGGCATCCACTAATACACGGATACTGTACTATTACAATTTTAAATGTTCAAGTCATTGTGGGATCATATTTAATTTTGGTGTTATTTAATCTTGAGGGTCGCAGTCCGAGTTAACAAATATAAGATTGACTCATGATTAATGTTTTAATTTCTAGGCGCTGGAGGGGTCGTCGGCCCCCATTTCCAGGCCCATCTGTGGGTGTATACCGATTCGACGGAGGTTAGGCCTTGCGTGCACCTTTTATCACCTTGGAGGTCTTGCTCGGCCATGCCCCGTCACTACCGGCTCATTGGGTCGGGCCGCTTGGCTGTGGGCTACACCGGGTGGGGCCTCCTCGAATCCTTGCCTCGGGCCCTCCGGTGTGATCTTGGCAACTCCCATTTTCTCCTTCGACGAAGAAAATTCTTCGGAGTCCAGATATGGACCGTACATTCGTCTAGGCCTTTGAGTTGCTTCTGTTTTCAGATTTGTTGTCTAGTTTTGTTGCTCAGTTAAGCTTCTTTGTTATGGTGTGACTCGGTAGTCTGTTTAGGTGGTCGTGGGGTTCAATTGCCAGGTTTAGGAGAGACATTATTCTACTTTATTTGTTAGGTGTGAGTTTTTTTTTTTTAAATTTTTTTTTTGTCTTTTCCTTTAAGTCCAGTTGCGTATGACATTCAGTACCCTTCATGGAGTTCTAATCTCCTTTATAGAGTTGAGTTTTGTGTGTGCGGTTGTCTCCTTGATGGAGTTTGTACCCATTGGACTAGTGTGTTCAATGGGGTGAATCCAGAATTTTTGATTCCTATTGTGTGTTAGTTGACACCCCATTTGTATCTTGTTTTAGTTTTTCAATTATTAGTATAATTATGGTTTGAAAAAAAAAAGACTCGAATATATAAGACTAAAAATCACTATTCATCCTGGGCTGAATCTAATCTCGAGGGCCGCAGTCCAAGCTAACATATATAAAATAGACACATGTTTAATGTCTTAATCTTATATTGTCTTGAGTTAACACATATAAGATAGACTCTTAAGAGCATCTCCAATGACACAATGTTTATATGTATGGTGTGGAAAAAAAAATAAAAATATTTTTTCTCAAATGGTTAATATCCATTGTAAAATAATTTGAGACATGTAAGATAAAATTTGAGACATGTAATATAATATTGAATGGACGATGGACGAGAAGTCTGGTACGTCAAACTCTCCGATCGGCAAGATCTCGGTTCGCCTTCACCTTCTTTGCCGGTAGAACGTCGAGTACTTGCAAAAACTCTCACAACAAAGGGGTTTTTCGATGAAGAGCCTCTGATACTTAAGTTAATATAAGCTCTACTCAATTCTCAAGAATATAATAGAAATGTCATGCTGAAATCGTAAGTCTTACCTCTATATATAGGGGTGATGTATCTGCTTCTAGAAGGATGCCTGGGTGGCTGAGCTGGCTGTCCAAAACTGCCGGCCTGCCCAATCGTACAACGCGCACTGAAGGTGTGTTAGAGACAGTTATGCGATATGAACCAATCAGGTAGTGCCACGTGACCTCTTCACGTGGGGATTTGATTCCTCTAAGATCTTCTCGAAAGCTCGAATATTCGACTAAGTCTAGGTCAATTTGGAGTGAAGCGCTGACTTATTCACACCTAAGTTCTGGTCGTTCAGTCAACCATATGCTGCTGGAGGTCGAGTTCGACCAGACTGTTTAAGGGCTCTGACTCGACCTAGTCTTTCTCTACTGAAATCTCCTTTAAGATATCTTCTAATCCGGAGGCTCTTGCTCCATGCTCTTCTACCACAACCACCTCGTTCGACCGGGTGGTTTGTTCAATTCTGTTTGACCGGCCTGCTCTACTGGTCTACTTCTTGAGGTGTAGTATTCAATATCAAAGTCTTTCTAATATAACAAGACTTTTTTTTTTTCGAAACGAAAGGAATATATATAAAAAAAAAGGACTTCTACATGTTTTAAATGTCACATTAGATTTTTGGACTACGTGAGGGTAAAATAGAGCAATCCATTTACATGGGAGATGCTCTAATCCTATATTGTCTAGAAAATAAATGGGCTCCTAGAGATATTGATAATCATTTGTGTTTCCTCTCCGCGATTTGTTTAATCATTTTGTTATGGCGAAAACAGAAGAATCTATCGACAGACTAAGCACGTTGCCCAACGACGTCGTTACGCAAATCCTCGCTCGTCTCCCAACAAAGCTTTCAGTGTCGACCAGCGTTCTTGCCAGAGGATGGACCTCTCTGTGGGCCCACGTCCCCAATTTGGATCTCTACGGCCACGCCGCAGGCTGTCGTGTGCGGATGACCTTGGGAGACGCCCCCGGCGGCGCACCATCTCGGCACATGCTTCAGAGCATAAACGCGTCTCGCCTCAATCGCGCTCATGATTATCATCACGTCAGGGATGAAATCCACAAGCTAATTAGGTCTGCCCTCGCTTGCGATCTTCTTAGTATTGACATTGATATTGATATTGACATTGATATTGATATTAATAATACAAATTTTAACATGTTGCCGTATTATCCACCCCACTTCACTTGCGAAACCCTAGTCCAGCTGAGGCTTCACGCCACTGGAAACCTCCGATCATCCCATACTGAAAACCTTCACTTTCCCAGCCTTAAGAAGCTAGAACTTTCTCATTTTTTTTTATGACTCTGATGCCCTGACTCGCTTTCTCTCTGGCTGTCCTGTTCTTGTGGAGTTGACCCTCTCTTGTTTGCCGATAACGGATTTCTGGAATGACTATGAATCTCCAATCTGCCACATATCCTCACCCACACTTGAACGATTCACACTCATTCCTAGTTTGTATACCTCTCCGAACCTGCGGATAAATTTTCCTGCACTGAAATATCTTACTATGGGTAAGTCGACACATGAGGTTGTATTCACCTCCCAATTGCCGTCACTAGTTGAAGCTGACGTGAGTTTTCGGGAAAGATCAAGTTGGAATAGACCGGAATTAGCAGAGTTTATTGATTGTCTTTCTAACGTGAAGTGCTTTAGATTATTGCATACTCTGAGGACAAAGGTACGTGCAGGTTTCTCCTTAATCTATTCTCAAAAGGTGAAGTTGATAGTGGTTTGAGAGCAGTTTTTTTTTTTTTTTTTTTTTTTTTTTTTTTTTTTTTTTTTGAATAGCAGGTTGTTGATGATCGTGTTGTTTTTAAGTTTGACAACTTGACCAGGCTCGAAATCCAAGAGCACGGCCATCCGCAGTTCATGATGAAAATACTTGAGAGTGCTGATAATCTTGAAATCCTAAGCATTGTAGGTGAACTCTATTGATGCAACTGAAAAGTGCTATCTTTTCTTATGGTTACTGTTTTTTCTATTTTTCCTTTATTTCGGACATATACGTAGTATAGCTTCTTATACATTTGTTTTTTCTCAGTTTGATGCAAGACTGACATGTTGGGAGGAGCCTAGACGAGTTCCTATGTGCCTCTTGTTTCGTTTAAGGACATTGAGAATTAGTTCCAATGTGTACGGGAGGCACGCACAAAGTCCCATCTAAGTACATTACCCTCATCAAGGATATGTACAAGGATGCGATGACGTGTGTTCAAACATGTGGGGGCGATACCAGCGACTTCCCAATTAAAATAGGACTACACCAGGGGTCAGCATTGAGCCCTTATTTATTTGCCTTGGTGATGGATGAGGTCACAAGGGACATACAAGGTGATCTCCCTTGGTGTATGCTCTTTGCTGATGATGTGGTGTTAGTTGACGAGAGTAGGGCCGGGGTAAATAGGAAGTTAGAGCTGTGGAAGGACACGTTAGAGTCGAAAGGCTTCATACTTAGTAGGACGAAGACTGAGTACATGACGTGCGCTTTCAGCATGGCTACTCAGGATGATGGTGATGTTAGCCTTGACGGGCAAGTGGTGGCCAAGAAGGAGACTTTCCGGTATTTAGGATCGATGCTACAAAAGGATGGCGGCATTGATGAAGATGTTAGGCATAGAATTGCAGCCGGTTGGTTGAAATGGCGTCAAGCTTCGGGCGTTCTCTGTGATAAGAGGGTGCCACAAAAGCTAAAATGTAAGTTCTATAGGACGGTGATTCGCCCGGCGATGCTATACGGTGCTGAATGTTGGCCTACAAAAATGCAACATGTCCAACAACTAAGTGTAGCAGAGATGCGGATGTTGCGTTGGTTTTGCGGGCACACAAGAAGAGATAGAATCCGAAATGAGGATATTCGTGATAGGGTCGGGGTGGCCCCAATTGAGGAGAAATTGGTTCAACATCGACTGAGGTGGTTCGGACATGTCCAACGGAGGCCTCCTGATGCACCGGTGCGCAGGGGAGTTCTACAGCGGGTCGATGTTGTTAAGAGAGGTAGAGGTCGGCCTAAACTCACTTGGGAAGAGTCGGTTCAGAGAGACCTTAAAGATTGGAATATCTCCAGGGATTTAGCGGTGGATAGGAGCGCTTGGAGACTAGCGATCAACGTGCCGGAACCGTGACTTTTGCTCCTTTCTCTTTTTCTCCAATTTTTTTTTTTTTTTTCTTCTGTTTCTATTGGGTTTCATCTCTAGCCTACCCCAACTTGTTTGGGACCAAAAGGCTTTGTTGTTGTTGTTGTTGTGTACGGGAGGCACGATCGTGCAATGATGAGCTATTTCTTGAGGAATGCTAAAGTTCTGGAGAAGATGGAAATACATTTCATGGGTTGTCGGAAGACAAAATTAAGCGCAATTGAGCAAATGATATTATGTGACATAGAGCAAAGATATGAGAAGCAAATTTTATTTTCAGAGGGAGAACCTCAGGCCTGGGAGCTTGTCTTCATCAACTGAGATTATTTATGGCTTTTGAGTTTGCTCTTCATTGTAATTAACTAGTTTATAATTTTTATTTTTATTTTTAATTATTTTATTGCTCTCTCCCTTTGTGTTCTGTTCTTTTTTGCTGCTTGTGGGGAGGTCCTGAGTAGCATCGAATGCCTTAAAAATATCGACTTATCAAGCTCGACAGTAGTGTAAAGAATTTTGTGGAACAGAATTCTGTTGAGGTCGCTCAAGCAAGGTCTCGAGTTCAAATCCTTGTGGATGCAGGAAGCCTTTGTTGGGAGACTCACTCACCATTGTCAGATGTGAGACCCGGGTCAACCAACGGATTAGTCGAGGTATAGATGGATGGCTACCAAAAAAAAAAAAAAAAGAAACACTCGTAAAGAATACATATACACGAGCAACGGGACACTTTGTAATTAATTACCCCACGTCTCACTCTCTTGGAACCCTCACATGCCTCTTACATTAACATGGAGCCTATATTCATAGTAAGGAAGGTTATATAGTATGTCTGTAAGTAGAGATGACCAGCCGCGGCCCGGCCCGGCCCGCCGGGTTTGCAGGCCTCAACATTATGGCCCGTAACCGTCCCAGAAAAACATATGGGCCGGTTAATACAACCGGCCCGGAACCGCCGGTTCACCAGCCCGGCGGGTCTCGGACAGTTCTGGGCCGGTACGGCCCTTGAAAACAAAAAAAAAAAAAATAAAAAAAAAGCAACGTGACCCGGCGCGACCCGGCCTGGCCCGTCGGGTCAAAAACAAAGAGTGTATAAAACGGGACCGAACCGCGACCCTATGGTTCCTGGTTCAACGAACCGGCCCTTAAGAGGCCGGTTCGGGTCGGTTCGGGCCAGGCCGGTGCTGGTTCGCGGGTCGGCCGACCTCACGGAAACAGAATTGGAGTCTCTCCCTCCCCCGAACTAGGAAGTGGAAAACCTTAGCTTCTAAATCGAAAACAGTAGGGCGTCGTCAGTCCAATACCGATAAGTTCTCGATCTCAATCTAAATCTGGCATATTCCAAGACAAGTCCTCTAACACCTCAAACAAGGTATTGGAGTAACAACAACTCCAGGAATTACAATGCTCAGACTTCACAAACCAAGGGTAACGATGTCTCCAATATCAATGCTCAACAACCTCTTCGGTTGGACAAACGGCCCTACACAGAGCTAGGCATGCCGCATGGGCCCAACTACCTTTACTTACTATATAGTTAAAGAAGGTAAGGAAGTTAAAATAAGTGCAGCTAAACAACCCCGGCATGAGGAATCCTATGACGAATGCAAGGACGAACGGAGCGTAAGAGGTCTTTCATACTAGACCTTGGTAGGGAGATGAACAGAACAGACTCGCCCAGACCCATTCTGTTTTTCACTCTTCCCAACTAAGTAAAGCGAAGCGTAATGAGTAAGAAATATCAGAATCATTCTTCCTTATTCTTTCCTTCACTTGCTTCTGTTTTTTACTAAACTTCGCCAATACTTTATCCTTCACTGAACAAGCAAGGGATTGAGCAACTAGCGCGAAAGCCGTTGACGGGCCATGCTATCTGTAAGTTGAATTAATTGGTTCTAGCATTTTTTCACAGTTGAATTAATTGTGTAGATCAACTCATCATTACTGGGCACAGTCGTTCTCGATCGTTAATCGATAATGGGTTGTTATAATTCTTATCTAACAAAGGGCTGTAAGTGAGTCGAGTCAGGCTCGGCTCATTAAGTAAACGAGCAACAAATCGAGCTCAAGTTGGCTCTATCAATATTAACGAATCGAGTTCGAGCCTTAATGAGCTTATCTCGATTTCTAATGAGTCAGAACTATAAAAAATTATACTCCCTCCGTTTCAAATTATAAGTTGTTCTTTTTTTATTCATCCATTTTGCTATGTATCTAGACATATTATGTCAAAACGACTTATAATTTGAAACGGAGGTAGTATGAAATTTCTCTTTATTTATAGCTTTAACAAGCCATCCACCTAGTTTGATAACAAAATAAATTTTAAACAAGATCGAACACGCCTCGTTTATTAAATAAACAAGTTTTAAATAATTTACTGAGACGATTCTACTTAGCGACACGAAGGCCCCAATGTCCCTCACTAAAGCTAAAAGATGCTCTCAATTAAAAGTTTTAACAAAGATGAAAGAACCGATTGGTCTCATATTACCGTTTATTCAGCCCACTCACCGCCGTTAACTACCCACAAAATTCAAAAAGCTAAAAAGACTTCTCCAACGGCTATCCAAACCTAAAATAAATTAAATAAATAATAAAATAAAATAAATATTTTTCTACTCATCAAATACACGTCTCTTTCTTCACCCGTAAACGCAGAATCCACGGCAAAATCCCCAAAATCCGATCAACAAAATTAAACACATCATCACCCACCACCGTTCTCGCCGCCATATGGACTCCACGCCGCCGCCGCCAGCCTCTCTCTCCTCGGCCAGGCCCAAATCCACCTCAAGGCTCTCCAAGCTCCGCCATTACAGCGGATCGCCCATACCCCAACTCTCGCTCGAAATCGTCCCTTCTTCCCCCAAAGTAGCGCCTCCATCGCCGGAGGCGACGGAGATATCGCCAAGACCGCCGTACACACTGCCTCTGAAAGAATTCCTAGTGCTCTCACCTTCGCCTCTTAAGAAACCGAAGGCCCGTTTGGCGGAAAGGCCCGAGGTGGGCGACGAAGGCGGCCCGGTGGAGAGCTTTGGGGTTAGGAAGAGGTGCAAGAACCGAAATTCGATTGCTTCGCCAAGGAGTGTTCGGAGGTCGAGGAGAAAATTGGAGCAAGATGTTGCTTTTAGAGAGGAAAGAGAGAGTCTTGGAGGGGAGGAGATTTTGGTGAAGCCGAGGAAGAAGAGGCACGGCGAAAGACCAAGAAAGGAGAAATCGGCTGCGCCTTCTAAAGTCCCATCGCCGAGTATGTAGTTTCTTGATTTTTCGTTTTCATATTACTGGTAAATTTGTTTATTATTGTTTGATTAAAGGAAAATATATTGGTCTCAGTTTCATGGGATTGAATGGAGGTGTTTGTGTATTGTGGATTTAGGAACAATTGATGGTGTCGGGTACAATATCGATGCGATTGGCGAGATTATAAATGATTTGGTTATGTGGAAAGATGTCTCAAAGTCGAGCCTTTGGTTCGGTTTCGGGTCTCTCTGTTTTCTGTCTTCTTGCTTTGCAAGGGGTGTTAATTTCAGGTATATCCTCCTCTGCAAATGTTCTGTTATTTGCTTATTCATGACTCTTAATTTTGCATCTGTTTCTTGAAAATTGCCTAAAAAAAACTGTTCTTGTGACTGATATTTTGCAGCATTTTCTCGATCGTATCTCGAGTGGGGCTTCTGTTCTTGGGATTGGCATTCTTCTCAAATTCAATGCGTAAACGGTATGAGAAAATGAATATATTTCAGATTTCTTTGTTTTGTTTTGTTTTTTTTTTTTTTTTCCTTTGCTGTTTGTTTACTATGCTGCATTTGTTGAGAACAGGACTGGCAATGAAATTAAGCACGAGTTCAAGTTGAATGAAGATGATATACTTCGAGTAGGCAGATTAATGCTACCGGCTGCTAATCTTGCTATTTCGAAAACAAGACAAGTGTTTTCAGGAGAACCAGCCATGACCCTCAAAGTAGATCACTAGTTTCTTTCTATATATTATCTTATCACTAGTTTCTTTCTATATATTATCTTATATAAGAAATTTTAGATACTCAAAATACAATTTGCTCAATGTTTCTTCAAATCATCTTCAGGTGGTTCCAATTTTTCTAGTGGGAGCGGAGTACGGTCATCTTATAACCCTATGGAGATTATGTGCACTTGGTAAAGCTCATGAAAGTGTATCATCATGTCCAATTATTTCAATACAGTGACAGTTTTTTCTGAAATTCTCGATTTCTTTGATAATTTTTATTTGCAGGGTTCTTCATCAGCTTCACAGGCCCGAAGCTCTATTCTGCCTACTCTTCTCAGATACTGAAGAAAGGTCAGTGTTTATATAGTATGCTCCTCCACTGATTTTGACATTGTTGCTACTACAACTTTGGGTGTCTCTTCCACTAAACAACTTTTACATTATCATGCAAATAAACAGTCGAATATTTGAAAACGTCGGCTATGGAAGCATGGGGAAGCTGCACACACAAAAGGGTTGTGGCTGCATCGGCTGTGACAGCCTTCTGGAATCTGACGTCCATCAGAACTCGTATATTTGCCGGTAAAAAAAAAATGATGAGCAGATAATTACTTTGAGATGAAAGCTTAAGCATGAATGAGTTGATTACCACTGATGATAGTACTAATAATAAAACGTGGGTTGTGCTCACATTACCTAAAATCCCTATCCCATTCACATCATTATTCAAAATCTAGACTATTTTTTTTTTCTTTTTTTTTTTTGATTAATTTGATTTTGGTGTGGTCTTGTGCAGCATTCTTGTGTCTAGTGATGCTAAAATATCACAGACAGCAGTGGGAAGTAACAGGAGAAGGAGAAGAAGGTAAATCGGAAGCAAAGCCGCAGGAACAAGAAAAGGCGATAGTAGCAGTCGAAATTGAATCGAACAAGTAATTTTTGTACTGTGTCAACACGAGCAAAATCATATTATATATAGTGGCCACACAAGAGCAATCCTTTGTTGAAGTGATTTTCTTGAACTTGTGGAGATGAGAACTTTTCTGTTGTAGTGACATGTTTATATCAAATAATACTCTGCTAATATTAGTAATCAATACTCAGTACTTATTCCATTGATTATATATGGAGTCACTCTTAATCCCATATGGTGTCTTATCTGTCTTTTTTTATTCTATCTTAACTACTTTCTCTTAGGTTGTTGTTAAGCAAACTCAACTTTTAAGCTGTCTCACAGCATTATTTGCAAAAATAAAAAAATCTTTTATTCGAAAAAAGTAAAAATGGGAGCTTATTAGCTTCTGGTTCTTAAAATACAAAATGAACTTCAGCTTCACCAATTGGCAAAAGTTAACTATCAAGCCTAAGAGAACAGATGTCAGTCACAGTGCTTAAAGCTCTAACTTGAGCATTTAATACAAATAGACGAAGGGGAAAAACAAAAAGTAACATCAGAACTTCAAACGAGATGCCATCAAGATGAAACGCTAAACCGTACTCATAGTAGTGCTCGAGAAAAACTTGAATCATGCATCATCACAACCTGGAAAAATCAAGGATGAAATAATCCGATTTCAGAGCGTATCCATTTGAACTTCAGATTTTGCTTCAGTTGCTAAACAATCACTGCTCCTTTCGAAATCAAATTTAGTCAATAAGATTTTTCATGCAAGACCTAAATGCAGATTGCGCATCATCACTGCTCCTTTCGAAATCAAATTTAGTCAATAAGATTTTTCATGCAAGACCTAAATGCAGATTGCGCATGACACGAGAGTTTCCCGGATTTAAGCAGACAAAAATAACAGATAATGAATAACTCTTCAATTAAAATATTGCAAAGATCTCATCAAACAAGTGTTCAGGCTGATATTTAATTTCATCTGTCGGCTGCTCTCGGCTGGCAAGAAGCCATGTCCAAACACAAAGAAACAAAGACAGATCAAGGAGAAAAATGTTCATATCGGGTACACAATCTTCTAGACAGAACCTTGCTTGAAACCTTGAAAGATGGAACTGATCATAGATCATCACTGCAAGCTGATTAATATAAAACAAATTAGTAAAAGAAGACTTGGATGAACTAAACATTTATACGACACGGTTTGAGAAATGAAATAGCTGAATTTTAATTTGGTGTATAAAAAGACAAAAAGAAAAGGATAAAAAATAAAAATATCCCAGGTGAGCAATCTAGACACACAAGACACAAAATGATTGTATTCAAACAGTGTCTCATAGAAAAGGGGAAAAAAAGGAGAAAACACCAAGACTTAATAGTTCTCCTACATCTGGAAACACATAATGGTCCTTCAGCAGCTCACTGAAAACTTTCTTCACTTTGCATGAACAGTGTTAACTGTTAACTGAGTGTAAACACTTAAATCCCTTGCCTTCCAAAGTTTATCAAACATCATCATTGCAAGTTGATTGAATAATAATAGCATGTAAGCTTCATTCACGATTCGTTTTTCTAGAATGTTAATGACCCCTATAGCTTCCACTAATATTCATACTATTCTTGCACATACTCAGATGTCATAGTTGAGATTATGCTATAGTAGAAGCCACAGGAGAAACTTTATAGGCAAACTAGAATTTGACACATGGATAGTATTGCAAGAAATTAATTGACATTTGAGTAAAAGACAATCTACAAATCGTGAGTTATAAACTGCTGGCAAACAGAAAGTAAAAGAAGTCTTAATTATGTATAAATGCGCAAATATGTTGGACTAAATTTAAAGCATTTTGTGTTCCAGTACAAAAGTTCTAAAGACAATTAAAATAATCTTTTGCTTCTCCATCTTCATCTAGTCTTGTCAAGGCCAACAACAGGATCAATGAAAATATACTACTTTAACAAGATGAGAAAATAGACATGTATAAGATAGAAATCAGATGATTCTTCAAATCGAATAAGGACTAAAAACATGTAATAAACACGTTCTGTTATCAATATGTGGAAACAGGAAACTCAACACTCAGTCCAGCAGAGGAATAGATTATTAGAAGAGATGGAAAGGGATTCAGACTGCAAAGCTTATAAATATGCTACGATTTTAAGTTGCTTCAGGTGGCCGGACACTCACAAAGGGAAAACTAACTCACCAGGGATATGAAAGGAGGACAAGGTCAGCAAAAGAAGGCTCTACGCTCGTTAGATACCTAAAACCATGAATGAAAAGCCATTGGTTAGGCAAACCATCACCATTTACTGGTTCTTGGTGAAAGAAAAAGGGTGGAAGTACAAGAGTCGTACATGAAAATATCAACAATGTACACTGGAAAGCTGATAATCTCTCCCAAGAAAGTTGTTTGAAATAGAAATAATAAGCGGGAAAAGATATAATAAAAAGGAACCAACGTAGGGACTACAATTTATGACAGTTATAGATCCACCCCCAAACAAATTGTTGTTTGTGCCTTTCTAGTATGTGTGAGGCCAAAATCCATCTCTAAAAAACTCAATTATAATGTAGAAAGAAAAGCCATTAACTTGGAAATTTATTGATCCTCATTCTATTTATTTTATTTTTATACGTATTTGACTCATGTAAGTAACATGATTGTTTCGGGAAAAACCAAATATATCATCTCCACTGCAGCAGTTACACGAAGTGTGTCGATTATTATGAGCCAATTATATAATAAAAATTATCAGTACACGTATACATGCAATGCAAGAAGAATCTGGAAGAATTCATCACTTTGATCTAAACATGACCAGCCATCCAGTGAGTAAGCAGCAAATTGCAACAATAACCCATATGAACCAAAATATTATTTATAAGTCTCTCTACTGATGTACTGAGAACTAGCTATATGAATCTCCCTCTCTCCCTCAATATCTCTCCCACTGTATGTAGGCCTACACCCTGGCTTTATTTTCTATATCAGAAGCACAATGGTTAGTGAGACACCTCTGTTGCTGGATATCTGACCTCTCCTCCTTTATAGGATCCTTCATTGGAATGAAAATGAATATACAGGTCTCAGGGTCCTGAGAATTAGGGTAATAATTAGTTCATGACACCAAATGTCTCACTGAAGGAAGGCTTTTAAAATACAACTCTCACTAGGCAAACAGAAAATCCTCAACTAAATTACTAGTCCACAAACGCCCATGCTTCATGGCAGGTTGCATAGTATCACCCTCTTCTCTCTTACTCTCTCTCTCCCCATATCTCATCTATCTCATCTCATTTTCCTAGAAGGAATAGTAAATGATCTCCAAGCCTCCAACAACTTACTTTTACATTTAAGATTATAAAGATACTTCAAACTTTCCAGCTCCCATGGGAAGCCTGAAGCAAACCTAAATGGGCTTATAAATTTATGTCGTAGACATAATGACATGTAGACGCAACATGCAGACATACATCACAGGCGAAAACGACGAGTCATCATCAATCATTTAGCCATCAATTCAAATTTTACAGAAAAAGGAAGAACAGAACTTTCAAGCAAAATAATAAAGTTAAAAAAAAAAAAAAAAAAAAAAAAAAAAAAAAAAAAAAACTATTTTACATATACCCATATACATTAACAACAGTACCTTCCGGGAGCCAACCATAACCGCAGCTAGAGACTGTGAGCATCGACGTCATCAAGGCGGATGCCGTAGCTGTGTGGTACGGCTGCATCGACTCCAGGCACGCGCTCAATTCGACGGGGTTCCTTTCAGAATAATTATAACAGTATAAAATGAACTTCAACATTTAAATCTCGGCGATGAAAATCATCGTAAATTGAAGAGCGTGGAGGAAACGACAAGTGTAGAGATACCTGAGGACGCGGTGCGCGAGTAGAGGAGCTCTAGATGGGAGGCGGAAGGGGGCGGAGCGAGCTGATTTTGCCTCGGTGGCGAATCTCGTGGCGGCGCTACGGACGGCTGGCGACCGGAAAATGGATCTGGCGGCGGTCGATGCGGCGGACATTACCATTTTTCCTTTATCTTTTTGAGGGATGGAAATCAGTGAAAAACGGAAGGGTTTTTCCTTTCCTTGAGAGCTAAAACCCTACCGATCGGGCGTGTTTGGATGCGCGTTTTGACTATAGTTCTTTGGTAAGTAAATTATATTTTGAACACTGGTGGTAAAGGGTAAATTGGGGTAATTTTTTTTATTTATATGATTAAAATTCAAATTTGTTTAAGAAATTGGAAAAATAAATGCAAGTTGAGTTTACTACACCGTTAATAAACTCAAAAAAAAATCAAATTTCATATTCAGGAAAATAATATTTATTTAAATTTGATTTTGTTTTCATATTTATATGATCCAACAAAATAAACAACACGGCAACATGATAATAAATTGCAAACACAAGTAGCACGATTTCTAGGGAAATGCTACAATCCCATTACGAAACCATTCCATCAATGATTTGTAACCGTTAAATCATCATGTAATCGTCGTGAATAGTTAATCTAACGGTTACAAACTCCGACAAAATAGTTATGTAACGAGACCATAAAATCTCCACCTAAGGCTATTAAAGATGAGCAATCTACTCTCATTCTGAAATGGAAGGAAATGGTCTTGGGCACTAGGCACTAGGCCATTATCAAAAATTCCTTCAAAATTATTCCTGCAAGGGGACTTGTTGAATCCATAACCATACTTGTGGCTCGATTTGGTGAGAGATCTTGAGCTTGAATGATGTGAATTGATTAACCACTCAGTTTTCTTTGTTTTCGCATCAGCTATAAGAATGCCCTTGAATGAAGTGAATTGATTAGATTCCCTAAATTCCTTTTTCTTTGTTCTTGGTTATTTTTCTTCTTTCTTATATCTATGTGTAAGTGTGTTTTCATGTACAGGAATGTGATAAATGCAAGTTGTAGTTTTGGTACAATGTTTATACAATTCATCAACTTTACATACAGTTTTATTGTATTGTAAAGTAAGATTGAATTCTCATCCCATTCAAATACTTCTATTTCTTATGTGCAGTGGTGAGGAACTCTGATTAGAGGTAAATTGAACAAACCAGAATCATACTTCCAACATCTAAATTGGCAGTAATGGGACCAAACAAGTCACTTCCCCAAATGTAGAACAAATGTTGGGAAAAGCATGAAAAGCCCAGAAAATTTAATATGCAGAGACTCTGTTCGTGGATATCTGTTTGGAAGCTAAACACTTTGAAAAATGATCCCTTTTTGTTAACCGATGCGGCGATATACATATACTGGACATATACTGCATATACACGCTACATATACCAAAAACATATAACGAACAATTTCGGGATATTATTATGTACAAATTAGTTTGTGAATAAATGCTTTTTTTTTTCTTTTTTCAATGTTTATTCATAGTTTATGTTTGGTATATAAGAAAATTTTGTTGTTGAAAACAACACATATATCATTAATAAAAAAACTACCAATTTACGTATATATCTTCGGTATATGTATGGTTTATATTTAGTAAAATCATGAAAAACATATATAATACATATACCATCATTACGGTTTGTATTGTAAGTATATATACCGACATTATATTTTATATATTCTCTATGTATACCATGATTATGATTTATATTTACTATAGTCATTGAAATATATACAACACATACACCAATATTTTTTTTATGGTATATTTTATGTATATATATTAAACATATACTGAATATATACTAACATAAACGCAACATATACCCACCCCTGGACACCTGCGTGAATTACAATACATATTTTTTTTTTTGTATTTGTAATGGAATATACACGACAATTAAGGGTGGAGCGTTTTATTTGTATGATTATTCAGGGTTTATAGTTAGTATATTTTCAGTATATTTTCGGTATATTCTCAAAAGAGCAATATTTAAAAAAACGTCATATATATCATTAAAAAACGAATAAAAAAAACTATATATATACTGAACGTTAAACTTGAAAAAAAAAAAAAAAAGAAGACATAATTTTGGATGAAAGTCATGTTTTTCATTGCATCATATACTGAAAATATACTAACGTAAACGCAACATATACCAACTGGACAGTTGCGTGAATTACAATACATGTTTTTATATATCTTATTAAAAACGTAAAAATGTGCGTAAATTAAGGAATTAAATGAGTTATTATAAGCATATTTTCATTTCTCTCTCCTAATCAATCCCATAAAAAGGGGATGGAAGTTAAAAGGATAAGGTAACTTATTTAGACATTAATATAAAAAAATAAGTGATTTAGGTAAAAACATAATTATTAATATAAATATGGTAGAAATGTAAATAAGTTCAAATCACGTAGCACATGTTAAAATTTCCCAACAAAATATGCATCTGAAAAAAAAGCCCATCAAAGAAAAAAACAAAAAAAAAAAAAAGGAAAGGAAAGAAAATCATTCAACTTCTTTGATAATTCTCTTCTTGCGAAATGGCTCCCTGGGAATACTTCCTGGGGCACTATGAGCTCTCCTCCTCTCATCTTTCTTTCTTTGAGCTTCGGCCATGATACGCCTCAAAACACCAGCTTTGTATATTGGTTTCGGCAAGTGTCTATGCCTGCAAGAGAACGGTTAACACAAGATAATGAGCGTATAAACTCTATTTACCTGGACAGATGAAAATAAATGAGAACAGAATTGAGGTCGATTATCCGTTTAACAGAAAATATCCAGCAAACGTCGGTACAACAAATGGGAAACGTTCCATTTCAGACTCACAATGCAAGATAAGTTGAAACTCAGATAGCAATATATAGTCCCATTAATTTTGCATTAATTTCTGAAAGTCGAGTTGGGAGTACCAAAAGATCCAAATACCGGAAAGAGCATTATGATTTACTTTGCCAGCCTTGCAGTTGTGTTTTTGCATGCTAATCGAATTCTTTTAGGGAGAATTTGTCAATATATACCAAATGGGCGCTTCCATAGTCCAATAAATATGATGTACCTGACAATGCGCTTAACCTCTGGAAGATGCTTGTAACGATTCTTAACAGCTTCAAGATATTCGTGCTTCTTACGCTCTCTAGGCAAGATCTGTACATATGGAGAGCAAGGTGTAAATTTACTTCAAGGATACTTACTAAAAGTGGGGAAAGTACTATCAAACCAAGTAAATGAACCAACTGATGTGGTTTACATGAGCACGAACAGATCTCCAACATCCAAATACGATGCTAACGCATATTTTATGAAATTGAATTTGGCAACCAAGCTTCACGGGAATTGCAGAAAATTAAAAGAACTGTATAAATATCACATAGAAAGAAAAGATCATTACAACTCCCTGCTGTTCAGATGCATTAGCCTTCCAAAGTCGAAGATTAGTGTCATCACTACCAGAGATAACATATCTTGAATTATTGCAGTACTTGACACAGAAGACCCTACAAAGAAGACAAAAAGATTATAGGACACATTTCATACAAATGTGAAAAATTGATAGAACAAGATTGATTGTTCTTTCTAAATATTACCATTGCAGCACCTGCTTAAATTGAGTTTCAAGTAAGAATAGTAACAATCATTGCCTATTACAACCATACAACTGCAATGAAAGGGATCTAAATACTAAAAGTTCCCATCAACAATTTAAACCTTTGCATTCTCTTAGTATGATAAACTTCACGGCTGTGACCACCATTAAATTGGAATATTCTAACCTGCAAGACAAATAATAATATATTTAAATCATGACATAGCTGAAAATAGATGCACAAGTTTACAAATAAACTAAGGATGAGATAAAGAGAAAAACTCACAGTTCTGTCATAAGACCCAGTAACGAATTCCCGGCCAGTTGACGAGTAATCGATGTCCATACTGCAAAAGGTAAAGGTTGCGTTAACACAACAGTTTACTTGTTTGGAAAATAAATAAGAACTTGAATTGTATTTTGATCACACTAATGTTTGTGTGTCCATGTAGCGCTGGGCTACTTACACAGCAGAAACATGGTCCTGATGCACGCATCTAGCCTCATCCAACTTTCGAGCATCATAACTATAACAATTGCAATCTTCATTTGCCTACATTAATACAATACATCATGTCAGTATTATGACAATAAGGATTGAACGGATTGAACAGACATGCCAAAGTCTACACCTTAAAAAATAAAAATTAACCAATGTACTAGAAAGTAGATTACTGTTAGCAACTCGTCTATATTTTGTAGTTTCTTTCAGGAGACAATACAAACAAGTGCAAACATCAATAGGAAATGTATAGATTAAACGACAACTTAGAACCGAATTTCACTAACAGCACAATAAAATGCTGTAGAACATAAGTGTCGAGCTCGGTAAACATAACAGATCACATGCAGATAGAATAAATATGTTACACATATATTTTTAACACAGAAGATGCTTTAGTTTGAAGAATATAAAAGCTTCACTAAAGCATCACGTAATATTTGGTTGAACATAATAACGACAAAAAAGATCATGGTTTCATTGTTTTCTTACAGTGGTAAAGTTCATTGGCTCCTGCGGATTCCATGCTATAGAATTAGTTTTTGTCTGTGAAAGAAAAAATGAGTCAGATTGAGTACTGACAGATATATATACACACACATGCCCACTTGGACATATATCCAAATGATCATACTAAACCAATTCTGATTTCACATTTCAGCCAAACCAATGCAGTTTAACATGTTTAATATTTAATTGTGAGCACAATAATATCCAAATCTTAACTAAGAGTCTAACAAAACTAACACACAAAATTAAAACTATATGCTATTTTTTCAATGACAGTGTTACGATTTTAACAAAATTTATCAGACAAAATCTTATACTTCAGATGATCTAGAACAGGTTGGAGATAAATTATCAAGAACAATGAAGTTCTGAAGGTAAACAATGATTAAAATGTTTAAACCACACACACACACACACACACTCAAAAAGGAATTATACTCACCCTCATAATAATCTTTCTTGCCGGAGATGATGCTCGTAAGTCAAATAATGCAATGCTACGATCACTGCCATTTGAAAGGTAGATAAGCAATATATTGCAACTAATCTGATGAGAATGGATGTGACAAAAGCAGCTTGTATGAAAAATATTCAAATTCAGTAAGATACAATTATTTCAACTGCAGATGGCAACTGAACATCTGTTCAAGTTCAACGTGCATTATGATGATTTAACTGTTGATGGCTACTGAATGACTGTTCAACATGCATTTAAGTATATGGAAGACACAAATATGATGAATCTGGTTCGAATAATTGCAGCACAATTTGTTTGTCTATCTCAATAGAAGCATTTCCTCAATTTATACACAAATGTACCTGGATGATGTTGCAAGTAAATTTGGTTCTGCTGGATTAAACCGTACAGATAACACAGTATCTTTACCCCACTCAAAGCTATTAACAGGTTGAGACCTGATAAACAAGAGAAGCATAATATGTTACAAATTTATATTTCTCCAAAATTGCTCAGAAGGTGTCTTGACAATACCTGTTATGATTCCATATATCCACTTGAGCTCCTGCTGTAGCAAAAAGTTCACCTTCATACTGGTGATCAACAGCCCTGAAAACCAAAAAACAAAAAAAAGGAAGAACACGTAAAGAAGAACTACGTTAATGACATGACAAAAAAAGAGTACTTCAATACAAAAATCACCAAAAGCATAAAGAAATTATGTTAACGATAATGGTATGATTTCACAAACTACATAAGAAACAAGTTGCAGGTGAAAATACACAAATTTACCAGAAAGCATTTTTCCAGATGTAGACTGCTAATGGCTGCCGGCAATCACAAAAAATCGTTAGTTGTGCAGAATCAAAATAAGTTAACTATGCAAACAGTCTGGGATGGTCAAACAAAGAGATATAAACCACTGACCTTGGCTTCGTTATGCGAAGAGTAATGAGAGTCCATCAGAGAAGGAATGGGAACATTCCATAGCCTAACACTGAAAAGCACAAATTGCCAGGTAATCAATTTGATTATGGTAAGATCAAGAGTAAAGTAGCAAACAGAGATTAGGACTCACGTGGAGTCAGTCCCACATGACACAAGAACACGGCCATCAGGTGATACTGTCAGACCACGCACAGCACCCTGGTGACCTGGAAATTGGCATACTGTCCGCCTAGTGGCAAAACAAGTACAAAATAATCAGAGCTTGGGCATATTACGAAAATGTTACATCTTTATCCTAGAAGATCCAGAAAATATGGATTCCGCTGCATCTTTTTAGTTATAAAGGTATCTGTATGCTGACATATACACACATGCGAACAAAACAATGAAAATCTAGGAATAACACATAGGCAGATTAATATTGTTACCTGTTAGCCAAATCCCAAAGACGGATATCTGCAAGTCAAAATAAGTAACACATCTTTTAGTAGTTCTTAGATGTTTTAAAGTACCAGAAACTCATCGCAAAAACATCATATTGTACAACAAAATTCACTGTTGTAATGCCTTAATTCCAATTCTGTGTCTTCAGAAAACCAATTCAGATCATCCCCATACAAATTAATAAAGCTTCTGGGCTCTATTGTACCAAACTAAAAGTGTATAACTAGAAAGCAACAAGAAATAATGAGAGAAATGTATACCTCCATCCATAGAGCCTGAAAATATTCCCTTCAAATGAGCGGGGTTCTTAGCCATAGAGGAGATCGCATCAATGTGCCCATCCAAAGCGCCAATAAATGGCCGAGCAAAAATCTTTCAGAACCAAACAGGGAGCGATTTCATTAATCCATCAATGGAATCCTCAAGCCCAGGTTGAAAAGCCAGAAGAACACACACAAACTCCAACTACAACATCAAATTCTGAGGAGAAAGAGGTACCTTATCCAACTTTGCCGCATTGAGAGCGCGAACATACTCGACGGCTTTCTCTTGAGTTCGGAGAGTAGGGTCAAAGTTACGAAACACTCTCTGCAAAAGGCAATGAAACCCAATTGTCACCAGACCAAGAAACAGAAAAATAAGGTAGGGATTCAGCAAAACCGCCATGTTATTGCAAAGGAGGGCTGATACCTGAAGGTCTTGGCTTCGTTCCCGAGTGAATTCATCCGTGGACCGAGAAATCACCTTCACCTTCATCTTGTTGTATGCGTCGACTTAGCTGCGATAGGTGAGAACTTAAAACCCTAAACCCACCCCAGCATACAGTTGAAACGAGCTGAACTGTGGTGCGTGTGCAAACACGTCACTCATGCGCGCGTGGATGCTGTGGGTGGATTTGTCGTAAATATTCCGGAGAAAAATAAAAAATGAAATAATAAAGTTTTTTTTTTTTTTAACAATATACAGCTATATAAAATTTCAAAAAATCGAGACAGCGAAACGCAGCTTGATAGTAACACCTACAACCGATAGGTTATAGGTTCAGTCACAGAAGAGGAGAAGTGAGAATAATATTGATCCTCGTTAATTTAAAAGAAAAAAAAAAACTTAAAAAAAATCGAAACATACAAACAACACGTACCACACGTGGTATTCCCAAAGCCTCAAGACAAGAACTTATAAGCTAAGCTACAGGGAAAAGCTCACACGAGCCCCTTTCACAACGCACACCCACACGGTGTACAATACATGTTACAAAAACTTACACAAACCATAGAAGCTAAAAGACTAAAGAGTACATACAAAATAAAAATATCAACTACCAAAGTATCGCAAACAGTTCCTAAAGCTAAGTCTTTGTTGAGCTTTTTCACGAGTTATTTACACATTATCACCTTGTCCCTTTGCTGGTCAGCCACCTTCTCTAAAGTCCATCTCGTTGCTATTAGTCAAGTCTCCACTGAATTACACACCTCAAATCAGTCACTCCTACATTCACACAGTTGGCACTCACTAAAACAATGACATGTACAGCTTATACATAATAGGGTCATGACGGGCAGAACTTCATCCTTTTTTTACTCAATCCAGAATACCGATTCAGATTGAATCACTCTTAGCTAACATGCCCACCTCACTCATAACCACACTATTCCCCTCAGTTACTACTCTGCTTTTACCCCTTTTTTCACCTCTTGAACTCCAGTCAATCCCCTTTAGCACTCTCCACCACCCTTTTCTCGGCAACCCACACTTTTTCAAACACCCAAGAGTTTATAGTTTTTCAAAGCCACCAAAGAAGGTAAGTCAATAAACTTATCCTATCTTTGAGGCATTTAAAATCATCAATAATATACACCGCTACCCATCAATCCCTGAACTTAACCCTCTAGCTTATTCCACTCTACCCCAAGAAGTTTCCAACAACTAACAACCCTTTGGCACCTAAAGAAAATGTGCTCTACATCCTCATCCCCTTCACCACAACACCAACAAATACAATTTGTATACATACCTCTTTTCCTTAGTTGAATGTGTGTACTCACATACCCATGCCAGCTTTTTCACATGAAGTTCTTGATTTTGTTTTGAATTGGGAGTTTCCATGTCTGCACTTGATCTTTGCTGCTAGTGGTACCTGCTTCGACACTTCTTGTTTTCAAATGCTTCATAATTGCAGACGTAACGGTAAACAATCCACTTGTTATAATGCCAACTAATAGTCTTTGACACCCACAATGACTCAAAGAAAACTGAATGATAGCTTGAGCCGCCACAAGTTCAAAGGACTGACTCACTAACTCACTATCCCACTCACCACTCACCTTGCAAATCAAATCACTTACTTTTTCCAACCTACTATCCCCCTAGAAAGGACAACAGGGTTTCAAAGCGGCACACTTTGGATCCATGGAGCATCCCATATGCCCACTGCCCTGCCATTACCTATCCAATATCTAGCCCTAACCTCATGGAATCACTCACTCCAAGCCAACTTTTCATAACCAAGAGTCCTCATCCCTAGGCATGACATCCATTAACTTAACTTTATGAAAGTAACTACCCCTCACAACCCTACTCATAAGAACTAAGATTAGTCAAAACCCTCCACAATTGTTTAACAATAAAAGGTTCGTTAAAGGCCCAAGCCCCCATCAGGCTTAAGCTTATCCAAATTAGACCACCTAGCCCAATGTTGCTCCGCAATGCCACTCTACTTTGGAGTTGTGCGAAAAGCTTGCTTCAGTACTTCACTAATTTTCGCATTACTTTGGAGATGTAAACTTTATTGCAAAACAAATAGTGGTACAATTCACCCGTTACATTTTCCTCTCAAATATTCATATTATTTTTTGTAGGGTTTTTTTTTTCTATCTATTTTGATACATCTATTTACAAAGTATACTCTAATAAATTTATTTATTTGGTTAAATAATTTTAAATTTTGATTTATTATTATACGTAGAGGTGGCCACAGACTGCCCGGCCCACCGACCCGTCCTGTCAAGCCCGGCTCGAATTTTAACCGGGTTAGTTCAACACCATGCATCACCATATATTTTGTTTTTTTTTTAATTGTTTTTGACGGGTCTCAAATCCCGGCTTAGCCCACTAGGTCATTGACTCTGCACGAGCCTAGGTAAAGACCAGTTCTGGGTTGCAATTTTTGAACCCCCAAGGCCTGCCTGCCGGACTGGTCTCGGCTGAAGTTTTGGCCATGTGTAATTGTACGACAGTTTTGTTTTGTACGTGTTTTATGCAACACGGACAATTAAAGACGAAAGCTAAATTTTAGTTTCCTATACTCTTGAACAAACTCCAAATTTCGGTTTTCTCTATTTTAAGTAGAATAAAATCCAAACTGGAGTACAGAAGTTTGACTACTGAACTGTCAGTGTAATGAAACTCCACTCTAAAATAGAGGCTCGACTCTGCCAGTGGATGATCACCCTGACCCCTGCTACACACAAAATTTAGCGGTCAATAGGTTTATAAAAACGCTACTGGTGCCAACACGACATTAGTTGCCAAAAATATCATCTTCAGGTCTTTTAATTGGACACCGGTGCAAAAACCCACCAACAAAATTTCGTATTCCATATGCAACCGCACACTTTAGAGCTTCGGTACATCCATTATTTTAATGACGATGCAAATTGAACAGTACGAGAAAGACAAAAAACCGAGAATAAATATATATTAAAATCTTCTTCCATCAGTACACAACACGACATCCCTCGCGAGATGGAACGAATGAAACATACACAAAGCTGGCATTACAAAATCCGGTCCATCCACTTTCATATTGTCGACTGCCACTAGCTGGTGTTCTGATACAGTTAAGCTATTGACTCAGAAATATATTTTGCATAAGCAAAAGTTGGGATTTCTAAAAAAAAGGTTCGAATCATAAACAACTTAACCGACATCAACTCTCTTCTTTGTATTCTGGATTCTCTTTTAATATGACAAATCCCTCAAGAATGGGTGACAGAGGAATATATCTGCAAAATTAATTGAATATCAGTAGTATTTCCAAAACTCCACACCGATTGTAGAAACAAACAGATCAAAAAATAATATACTTCGGGTTCAATTAGCTCAAGAAAATAAAATAAGATAAACTCCTCACAAATACAAATCTCATGTAGTACTTTAAAGGGGAATTTCCAATTTCAATTAGTTCACCTGGCTACTGCAATTTGATTTTTGTAATTATATATCGAAAGACAAGGACTTACTTCTCAGTTGCAAGCTCAGCTCTATCACCAGCAGCCAAAAGAACAGGAGTTGAGTGGGTTTGAAAGCCCGTGATGGTCTTGGGTCGACCCGCCTGGCCAACAACATCAACAGCTTGGCCCACACGAACAGGTACAGAAAGAGGTTTTAGGTTCTCATCCACAGTCATCAGCATCCTTGGCTGCAGAAAAAGAACACTTACCGTTAGAAGGTCAGAGCACAAAAACTGGAGTGTAATAAGCAAATGACTCAAATATGAGATAAATCAACGAACCTGCATTGCAAGTGTAAGGAAATATAGAACATAATGATATTTCCCCAAGATTATAGCTTTTATATCCAGACATGCATGCAGCATAATCACAAGCCCAGCAAGGGACGTCCTGGAAGTTAAAAATTCAGGGGTTAAGATTGCACGATCTATTTAAAAATTACGAGAAGAAAAACATTACTCATATAATCCCACATAAAAGTATGTTAAGTTCATCTCACTAAAAAGGCTAATAAGACTATATATATACTCAACCCAAGCCTCCAAAAAATGAGCTCATACACAAATGCAGCTCAAGACTTACTATCCTTCCAAATATAACCATGTATTACACACACACATGAATCCTCTTTTACGTTTTACAGCAAAGCACATACACCGTGCATAGTCACGATAGACAATAAGTACAAAAATGAACTAAAAGTAGAATACTTACGGGGACAACAGAAAACGTTCCGAATGATATGGAGATAATGTCAACAACCCTTTGCCCAGGTGGACAAGACCTTGAGCAATCCGTACCTGGAGAATTAATAACCACGTGTTGGATTTTACGTTATACCAATTTTGGGTAAGTATTTGAATGAGTACAAAAATCCTTATCATTATTTAAATTCATGGAATCCATACACAGAATAGAAGGCTGGCATCTTTATAATAATAGCTCGAAAGATTCCGAAGCATTCCAGCAATTCTAGCGTTATTGGTGCCAGCACCTATCAAACCCAATGAAATGATGGCTGCCTGCAAATTTTATATTGACAAATTGAACTATATAAATTAACAAATAATACACTGCCAAATGCAAAACCGTAGTTCAAATTCACTAACTTGATCATTTCTCTCAATTCAAACCAAACAAAAGAGGAAGAAGGAGAATCAAATTACCATTGCAACTTCTGAGTCGGCATCATGACTGAGCCTGCTTAATGTGTCCATGACATTGACCTATCCAGATGAAAAAATAAAAAAATAAACAAGTAAGCATATAAAAAATCTCAACCAAATGTGTAATCAATGTATACACTAAACATCGTCTAAGCAAATAGAGACTATTTTGACTTCCAAAATATTGTGGAACTCATTTTTCAGAAAGGCAAGATATATAAACAATGCATTAATGGAAAGTTTGTGCTTAATAGCAGAATCAAGTTCCTTGCTCACTGGCAAGCACAAGCCGGAATCCCACAAACTTCTAGCTGTGGGGATTTATTTTTCACAGAACATTTGCAATTGCTACATTTGA